TTTTTTTTTTTTTCTTTTTTTTTTTTTTTTTTTTAAATAGTCACGGCCATCCCCGTGGCCGCTGGCCCCAAATCCGCAGCAAATTGATCCCTAAATGTTTATTTAAGGCCGAGGGGGTGCGTTCAAGCGAGGGGCTCAAGGTTGGGCAGAGGGAGTGTGTGTGTGTTTGTGTGTGTGTGTGTGACCGATCCGAGGGAGGGGTAGTATTTAGGGGGACACACGCACCCCCCAACCATTTTTGCAGCAACGCTTTTCCCCACGCGTGTGCGTGTGCCCGGTGGTGGCGGGGGGGACCCCCTTTCCCGGTAGGACCCGGTGCCAAGCCCCGGCCCCACGCATCCCCCGGGGGTCGGTGCGGGCAGAGCCCGGCCTCCAGGACCGAACGGGAGATTTTTTTGGGGAAAAAAAAAAAACACAACAAACCCAAAAACAAGGCGAAATTGGGAGCGGGTGAGAAGCAGAGCCGCAGAAGTGCCTTACGCGGCTGCGGGGAGGTGCGGGCTGGCTGTCAGCCGCCGTGTCTCAGGCAGAAGTTCAGGCTTTGGTCAGAAAGGGGAAAAAAAAAAGGAAAAAAAAAAAAAAAAAAAAATCTTACGTTCCCCTCCCGCTTTGTCTCCCTTTTCCCCAACTCTGCCCTTCCCCAGCTTGTCCGTCGTCGCCCCCCCCCCCTCCCCAAAAGCCCACATTTTCCATGACGTCCTTCGATGAAATATTGCAGGACAGGAATTTACAGCCTTCTTCAGCGCAGGATTTTTTAGGAGTTTTCTGGCAATCACCCTGCAACACAAAATCGGTTCCAGCGATAATAACCTCGGAGCGCTACCACTTAAGACACAATCGCTTCCCACAGAGATCTTCAAAATATCTCCGGGTATTTATATCCCTGCCCGGGGACGGATAGCTAGAATACTTTTCCCGGAGGGATGCTTTTTTGACTGGCTGGGATACAGCCCCGAGGACCTGGGTACCGAGAGAAACAGCGGGTGATGCTCCGGGCCATCCCCCGCCAAACGAGTTCCCCCGTGTAAATCCAGCTGTAAATCCAGCTGTAAATCCAAGCTGGCACTACTGAGCCGTCCATACTTTCTCGAACAAGTTTTCTTCCTTTGGGGGGGCTCCTCTAGTTGACGGGGCCCGGGGCTGGGGATGCCCCAAACCAAGCAAGACCCTCGGGAGGGGATGCTCCTTGGCAGAGCAGGCAAAACGGGGAGCCATTTCCAACTTTTCTAGCCCCAAACTGCGGCGGGTTAGCGGTAAAAAATGGGGACGACGGTGCCGGGGAAATATTTCGAGCCGCTGAACTTTTTTGGGGTCGGGAATCGCCTCCATCCAGCCCCCCGACGTGAAAAGCCCGGGCCGGGTCGAGCCGCGCCGGGGAGTCCCCGGCAAACGGGAAGGGCGAGGGGCTTCCCCGGGGCTCAGCCTTGTTTCCAGGCTTCTTGAATTATTTTCGTTGTTTTCTTCCCAACTTTAAACCAAAACGCCCTCGAAATGGCACCGGTGTGTCGGTGCTAGCAAAGGGAACCACTTTTAGCTTCGGGCAGGCGAAGTCCGCTGCCCCCCCCGTTTTGTGGTGTCACACAAACCCCGTCTGCCCGGAGAGGTGAGAGAAGGTAAAACGGAATCTCCAAAATTAAGGAGGAAAGGGTAGTTTTCTTACACGGGTACTACAGAACACGAGGATGGTGTATTGTCGGGTTCGGTATAACCGAGCTGGTGGCTTCGTCTACGCTTAAATTTAGGAAGACATGTGGAAAACAAACCCGACGGGTTTGGGGAAGGATGCGGCCTCTTTCCGCTGCCCCTCGGTGCTCACTCCCGGGGGGACGGCGGTGCCTGGACGTGGCCGCCCGGTGCGGCGGGGAACCCCGGTCCCCTGGGCTGGGGGTGCGGGCACCGGCCTCCCTAAGAGGAAAAACCCCGGGGGGACGGACGGACGGACGACACCCATACTGTCCCCTCGACGGTGAAGAGCCCCGGGGCTGCGGGTGGGCTCCTCAAAGGGAGAAGGGACCTTGTGCCACCGAGGCAGGAGCATCACCCGGCAGGAGCATGGGGGTCCCCAGCAGCCACCGCTCCTGTCACTCGCCCAGCGGGGAGAGGGGGCTGCGGTGGCAGTGCCACCCACGCAGGACGCGGCCATCCCCCGTGGGTAGGGATGAGGCAAGAGCAGTGGGTGCCAGCGAAGGATGCTGAGGGCAGGGATATCCCCCCCCCCATCTCCGGGAGAGGGGGGAAAGGCTGGCACCATCTCCGGGCCGTGACAACGACCTGTCGGGAGGTACCGGGAAAGCCCGGGGGGGGGGGTCTCGTCGTGCGAGAAGATCCCCGGTGCAGCAGAAGGGCTTTGTCCCCTCTGGTGTCTGCCCACGGAGCTCCCACGCTACCCCTGCACTGCCCAGGTTGGCCACGCTTGCCAAAGTGGCTTTTAACAGAGGGAGCCTCAGGGCACCCTTGTGCGTGGGGGGAGCGAAAAAGCCCACCCCTTTCACCCGTGTCTCCGTGTCCTTTGCTGCAGGGAGAGGGGCAGAGCGGCCTTGCAGCCCCCAGGCAAAGGGGCAGCACACGGCAGGCAGGAGGGGGGGGCTCCACCAGCCACGGCAAAGGCCCACGGCCCGGGTCGGAGGGGCTTTTTGCCCGCCCGACCCAGGGGGGGGACCCCCTGCCCGGTCCGAAGCCATCCCTCCCCTTCCACCCGCGTCCCAGGGCAACCTCCCGGGGT